TATATATACATATATATACATATATATACATATATATATATATACACATATATATATATATATATATATTATGTAAATAAATTACATACACAACCATGAAAAACGATGAAAAATGCCTTCTAATTCTAAATTAAAATTCAATGTACATGCACGCTGTGGGTGTGCGGTGGAGGTTAGCGTTCCGCTGCAGTAGAGAGGGCATGGGAGTGGTGACGCAGGTGAAGCCCCGGACACAGGTGAGCTTAATTGGAGTAATCAAGCCTCTCCTTAAATGAATAGGGCCCAGGAACAAGGGGATAGGAGAGTGAACAGAGGAGTAAATACTGGCCAAGACGGACGGACCGCAAATGAAAGCCGGGCACAGCGCAGGAACGCACATTATTGTGAAGAAAAATAAAGGGACCGCTGTCATTGTACTGTAATTGTACTGCCTGTCTGCGTTATGTAAAACTTACTGGGGGACAGCTAGAGGGAACGTTTACCCTGTGATGTCATCGTTTGCATAAAATGATCTATATCTGCCCCATATTTCCCTCTTCCATAAAAAGTGCAACTTTTAAAGAGTAAAGTAGAGTTTATATGGACCAGAGTCATAATCCATGTCAAAACAACAGATTACTGTATATAGACGTACGTGATTGGCCAAATTATTAGTCGTTACATCCACCCATAGCCCCTCAGGATATAAATAATAAAACAGTATGATAATGAATGAGAATACAAGCTCTTTATTTGAGGTGTGTAGTGTGTGCTGTGATGGAGCAGTGGATGTGCGGGTCCGTGATGAGTGAATTCATCAGACACTTCAGCTCATCAAGACCATCGCTGGAAACAATGCTTATCTACAAAACGGCACATTGTCTTAACCAGCATGTGTCTCTGGCACTGACCGTGTCCACACTGCGAGACTGCGACCAGTCCCTTCTCCACGCAGAACCCGGTCTTGCCTTGTTTGGTCCGGGCCGGGCGTCTGGCAGAGAGAAGAGGCTCTGGTGGCAGCACGGAGCTCTGCTGAGAGCCAGTCTGTAGTGATGGACAGCAGCAGATCCAGTTGCACTTGTCACTGGCTGTCAAACCGGCTGTCTGAACGAGGGGGACGAGAGGGGACAGGCGGCCAGGGCTGGGTGTGTGTGTGTGTGCGTGTGTGTGTTTATGTGTGTGTCTTGGGGCTTAGAAGTTGTAGTGAAGGGGCACTGATTGGGATGTCAGAGCTCCACGGAGTGTGTGTCTCCGTGCAGTAGAAAGAGGAGGTGGGGGGGAAGAGGGGGTTCAGTCAGCAGCAGCTGAGCGAGTGAGCAGGTGTTACTGCACGTCTCCCAGGGCCTGTGAATCTCCAACACAATAAAAGTTTGGGTTGATTTTCCCTCTCTGCACTCATTTGTTTTGGCTCTTTTTTTTTTAATTTTTTTATGAGGATTTAGTTTGAGGAAACAATGGCGGGGTCCCTGGTGACGTGTTGTGGAGCTGCCTCCTCATATCTACCTGTGTTTTTGTCCTCTGTCCTTTCTGCTGTGTCAGGTAGCAGAGTGCTGAAGGTTGGAACAATGCCAGATTCACCTGCGGATGTGAAAACCCAGCCCAGGTCTACCCCACCCACCATGCCTCCACCACCCCCGGCTGTCAGCCAGGCAACCAATCGCAGCGCTTCGTTCACCCCCACTACTAGTAAATCAAGTAAGGACCCTTGACTAGTTTTGTAATAAATACCGTTTCTGGGGCAGACTGATGAAACGTGCTGCGTCAAACGGACTGCAACAAGCGCAGGACGACTTTGACCTTTCCTTTAGCGGCAGGTCAATTACGATGGATGAGATGCTGTAGCTCTACTTTACAGTTCTTGTCTTCTCTGCCGTCTCGGCCAGTGATGTAGGAAACCATGAGGAGCTGGCATTCCTTAATAATGAAAAAAGTCCCTGAACTCAGAATTAAGGCTGTACTGGGTTGAACTGAAACTTTGATTTGACTTAAACTTAATTCTCTCGGGAGAATCTGCAACGTTTTGTTCAACTGATCCCTGACA